AGAAGCTTTTCAACATTTTCGCCCAACGAAATACGTTGGCATTATTTCGACTTTTCGTTTTAGTTATCGCAAGCGATTGTGATTAAATAATTATTTTTCAATATAAACAAAAACCTTCACTATTAATTGGATTGTTGGTGAAGTAGATACCTTTTTATTATGATAAATAATAAAAGATATTGTCAGGTATCAATATTTTAATTCAACATTACGATCATTTCGATCGGCAGAACTTTGTTTCGCCTAGAAGCCTGCAAGCTCTGAGGATGATTCGCTACGCGATCGAAATAGATCATAAGTTGAATTAAAATATTGATACCTGACAATATATTTATCACAAAAGCCTTCACGTTGATCAAATGAAAACTACGGAATTATTGTTAATGACTGTTATCTTACGATTGACTTGGGGTTGGTTGAAGATATTAGGGAGATAATATTTGAAGGAGTGGTCACCGGAGGCTCTGCTATCGGTACGAGCGCCTTGCGATTACGCCCAGTCGCTAGCGCCGCCAGTGGCCAATTCTGAAACGTTTCTCGCCGACCTCCCGACTAGTGCCTGAGGAGGAGAATTAAGAAGCTGGTCGTCTTGCGCGATTTTGCGCTATAGTTAGAACCAGCGATATTTCAGCTGCGCATGCGATTACGTTTAAATTTGAAATTATTCTCAGTTTTAATTTTTGCGTAAAATAACCGGTACTGGCGCCGGTTTATCTAATACAAATTACCACCTCTACCATCAGTGGCGGATTTACCGTTAAGATAAATTTGCTACAGCTTAGGACTTCAAGAGTCCTATACATTTTTGAAAATTTCTCAAAAATGGTTCCAATATTTTTCTTTAAATTTCTTGTCATAATAGAGTGAAATAGACTTATAAAGGAGGTACAGATTTTCACGACCTCTCCTAATGGCAAAATGGCAACACGGCGCAGCAGGTGGAAAGTATTATGTCTATGGATTTACGTCAGTGTTGCCGTTCGGGTTAATAATATGATGCAGATAACATTCTTATAAGAAGAAATTGATTTGAGATGGAACTATCAAATACATTTCTTTTACTTCAAATTTTGTTAGCTGATTGTAGTGTTCTTACCTTGGAAGCGTTAGATAAATAAAGCCTATGTTGCCGACCAACAATGAACCTTTTTCCGAGAATTAACCGTCTTAGTGTGTGGTCCCTCCACGTGAAAGATTAATGTGTGTTAAATAACTTGTGATAAGTAACTAATTCTATAACTATATATTAATTAACAATTAAATTTACTAATTAAATTATTTAATAACTTTTCCTAAATAACTACTATAAGTGGATAACTCCTGAAAATTTCCAGCACAAGAAGTTCGGCAAATTGGAATTTGCAATTTCGAGTATTGATACTAAATTCCTCATATTTTTTAAATAACCGTATTTAGATCAAATTTTTTAAAAGACTAATTTTTGGAACAGGTTTTCTTTTACAAAAATATATTTATCATCAAAATTGTACTTTTGCAATGACATTGTTTTGTTGTTTACAATTTTCAAAAATACGTAAATGGCTAAAATGACAGCAACTTCACATTCTTTCCCATGGTAAATTCGAATTTCTTGCGCTTCGTTTGAGGCGGCGTCACTCCAATATCAGTGTGATTTGAAAGAGGATGAGAGAAAGTCATGCGAATCTTGAAAAAAAAAACATTAAATTAAACATTGGACATTAAATCTATGTTAAATTGCGTCGTTTTTTTAATTAACTGGGTAAACCAGTGGATCATTTTCTTGTGCATAATAAGATTCAGGAATATCGAGTAATTCGTGTTCAAACGAGTAGTTTTGATGAATATAACACTATATTTGATTATTATATTTTTCTGTCCATTTGTATTTTCTTGCCAGCGGTAACAAATTAGCTGATGTGTAAGAAGTGTGTGCCATACGAATCAGAGGCACTTTTTGCTTGTTGCAAAGTTCTGCAAGCTCTTCGTTTGAATTGGTTGAATTGCACTTTTTCTACTGATAACTGAGTTTTTAATATGTCACAAATTACAATTTTTACCTCTCTAAAAACGATTATTGTAGTATTTCAATATTACACAACAATTTTCAGTAATGCAAGAAAGTATGTACTACCTACCAGAAATTATTTGAAATAATTGATTGAAAATTCCAAATTTTAGGCACTCTATTTTAACGATTAATGAAGAAAAAACGAACATTTATGAAAAAGCCTTTAAAATTAATTTTCATTACCCAAAGTTCGTGTAACATAAATACAACGTTCCCTTTCGGACTATTCCGTTCCGTAAATGCTTCTGAAACTTGTGTCGATGCTGGAAATGCCTCTGGAAAAAGTTATTTAAAGTTTGAAGGTTCTGCCTGTCTGTGAAATTGAGTTGCAAGCTTTATTACATTACGTTATGGATCTGAGCGGGAGCCAGTTTAATAAGATGGAGCTGAAGCTTTGTAGAGTACTTGAAGGAAAAGCGAAAGGGAACAGAAGAGGTTGCAGAAGATTTCGGATTTCGCAAAGAGATCTATAGACCTCTGGAAAAAAAGTTCTTAAGAATTTTCTCTTTGAAATTCGAAGACCTATGTAGAACGTACAGAACGAACAGTTCCGCAGCGGAAAGCTATATTCAAACGAGTTGGTATGTTGATAGTCACGCATGAAAAAATATTTGTTCGGGCACTAATCAGTCTCACATTCGACAATTCTTTTGTTATTGATGTTTAATTAACACAATAAAAATGTGAATGACTTATTTTTACTTCCTCGTCGCGGAGTAGAGAGAAACTCATGTAATGCTGTGTCAAAAAAAATCGAAATTTCTGCAGATAAGCTCTTAATATAGAGCCGTAGTAACGAACAGTGGAAACATTCAGTTGATAAAGTTAAAAAAAAATCTTGTAACACGTGCTGTAGCTAGAATCTATGTTTTGTAGGCCTTGATAGCGAAAAATTGATTGACAGTGTTGGCATATAGGGGGCCAAATTATTTAAAATACGGCGCCGTACTTCGAATACAATCAATATAACCATTCTTTGAGGCAAACTAATATCAAAAAGCGTACATTTCAAACATACTTCGCCCGTGAATTTTGCCTCAAAACCCACCGACTGCATTTAAGAGAGAAAAAGAATTTATTTTTATACAGAATCTCCTTGAAACTGCGTGCAAAGATGGCCGTCAGAACGCGGCACATCCCAGGCGCCTTAGGCCAACTAGCGCAGACAACGTACACTGTCACAACTTCGGAGCATCCCTCTCATATCCAGATAAGATGCGATGGAATCACTTCTTTGAAAATCAGCAGTGGGTATGGGTGGCTTCGTGTTAAAAAGCTGGGCAAGCCCGCGTATCGGCTGCAGTGTGCCATATCGCGGAATTCCCGCCGTTTTCAGCGGAATTTTGAACTCGTCGGCGGAAAAAAATGAGTTTTGCGAAGAACAGCGCGGAATAAACGGCGGAATAATTAAGTAGTAAAGCAGTAAAATTAGTTAAAGCATCAGTTTTCGTTAACTCTTATAAAGTTGATCTTCGCACAGAATGTATATTTTGAAAATTTTAACTTCATCTAACTAGCAAGAATAAATAATATTAACTTAATAAACTTATTAAAGTAATATTTAATTATAAGTAATAATATTATTAATACGATAAACTTATACAATAATTATATACTCTGAAAATCAATTGTTATTATTTTGCAGAATTTTACACGGCAGTAGCATTCTATACTATTCTAAAAATTGAATTACAGGTTCAATAAAGCCACTATATTTCGCAATCATATTTTTGTTTTAACAGAATAAATTAATACAACATTTAAATGTGGAAAAATAATTTATTATACGTTTAGCGGTTTTAGGCGGGAAATTTAAAACCAATTCAGCGGATTTTCGGCGAAAACTGAAAAGAACATGGCGGAATCTCTCTAAACACATCTGGCAACACTGTCGGCTGCACTAGAAGCCAATTTACTTGCGTGAGGTTAATGTTGAGATTCTAGATCGCCGTATGATCCGTGAAGCAGTGTGTTTGCCGCGGGAACTTAGTTCACAAGTCCGAATTACGAGTGAAAACAAAAATCAAAACGATTTCCTTTCGCCGAGTCAGGTAATTCTAACATTTTCTTCAATATTTGATGAACCTAACGCAGCAGTATGATAACAATCTTAATTCTTGTTTTCACAATCTTCCCTTGTGTCAAACGGTCAGAAAGGCGAATAGTAGTTTCCTCGTCTCGATTTCTTCAAAAGCTCTTCCAAAACTCAAACTATATTCGCAGCCTCATCACACGGAAAAACTTCTGTCCGTCTGTGAACAACGTTAGTGGCTAAATTGTTCAGCTGTTTTTTTTCCAAAATTGATATTCCCAAATAGATCTGGCTGATGTCGCGGCCCCTTGAATTTGAAACCTATATTTTAACTTTGAGAAAGTACTTCACATCAATCCCTTGGAACATTTTCCAAATTTTCAAAAATAGGCCGTAATTTTTTATTGAACTTTTGTGTAGGATAGTATAAAGGACGTTTAAGAGAATGGGGTAGATCTAACTTTCGTTAAAAACTCTAATTTTTCGAAAATTCCAAAAGTTAATTTTTTATCGGAGTCTTCCTACAATTATGTATAAAGAGATTTTCTCTTAATGAAATCGGTTCCTAAATAATAGATTTTGAAATAGGTCATGTACAAGTTTTTGAAAATTTGAATACGTTTCGCGTACTTTAGCGATAAAATGCGGGCGAGAAAATGAGGAACCCACATACAGCAACCAAAAATCTGTCAGATGACAATTCCACTACCTAGATGAGTTGAACACATTAATTTTAGCATCACTAGTTTATGCACATGTAGAATCTCAGGATGTACAATTGTAAGATAATATTTGGTATTTGTAATAAAAACATAGTTATTTCTTTGTGAAAACCTTTTAAAATCCAAATTAACTGGAAAATATTGTTCATATTCATGAAAAGCCAAGAGGCAAATAATACATGTTTGTTATTTGCAGAAACGTTGATTGGTCCTGAAAGCATAAGGTGAATGAACAGTGAATCCAGCCAGACATGTATACATCAACTCCAAAGCAAAAAACTTTTTTAAATCGATGTTTGTACAAGCTGGGCGCATAATCCCATCAGAAAGAAGCCATGAAGCATGAGTCGGTTTGTAACGGTACAAATAAAAGATAAACAGAATGGTTATAGACGAGTTACTAAAAGGAATCTATGTTCTAACATGTATAATCCTTAACGACCATAAATAATCAATTGGAGTCAAGTTAACGGGGCTTGGTTTAAACGAAGTTAAACCATGGTTGTTTGCCGACTTTTCGGAAAATATATTTACGACTACCTAGATGAGTTAAACATATTATTTTTTTTACAATAGTTACATACCTTTCAACTACCAACAAAGTATATACATAACTGTATAAGCTGCATCTTGCTTTTGACCTTAAGGCACCTCACGTGAAGTGAGGAATGTACTACATACAGCATCAACACACCAGCATACATCATGACTACTAATGGTATAATGTTGACCGGTGTGAATTATTTCATAGACTAAATGAGGTAAAACTAGCTTCCGGTAAGTTTCTGTAGTTAATTGAACGCGATATATAATTGCACAGTGAAGTATGTTTAATACATGACACTTCATATATTATTAATTAATTTACCTTATTTATCTATTTTCCACTTTATTCCTTTACCAATTGCTATTATAAAATTAAAAGGTCTATTGCGGTAGAAGGAACCGCAGATGAACATAATTAACACTAAAATTACAAAAACAATGTTTTAAAATTAAATAAAAATGAAAACGGGATGTGGTCTCCTAAGTACCTCGAGTTGAGGGCTCTAGAAGCCCACAACTAACCGAAACGAGAACAGTATTAATAATACGTAGTTCAATAATTACCAAGACAATATTAATTTCTAAATAATCTCACCTCAAAAATGAATTCTCATGAATTCTGAGTTCTTAATATATTCCTAATTGTATTATTTGATGATGTTGACATTGAAAAAAATTAGAACCAGTGACTTAATGTCCTTAGTTAACAAACTTAACTTTCGTGGTTAACCTACAAACCAGCCTGGGTGAACTCTTACTACCACGGTTGCAAAGGCGTGGTACACAATTCAGGCAAGAATCGTCTGTAGAATAAATAAATGAAAAACTGGTGCTTTACATTTTAAAATAAGGACGTATTTATCAGAATGGTGCAGAATGATACCATACGTGTGGCAATAGATTTCGAAGAACCTGCTGTTGATAGAAAGCAACATCGAAGGCTATTGATTTCGATGGGCCAAATTTTTAGTTGTTTTTTTAGAAACAAGAACATTCAGTTTCTCTACATAAATTCTCTCTGTGTACGCACAGACTGGCCGTAGGAATCACATACACACCGCTCGTCTACAATTAAGCAGAAATCGGCTTAAGTACTCGACAAATAATTGTTGCATTGTTTGTGCTGTTAACATTCCTCCCTCCCTCCCTCTCTCTCCCAGCGGGATTTACGGCACGCGGGAGGCAGGGCTTTACACGGCCGACGAGGCAGCATCTGCCGGCGCTTCCTACCGCATATATTACCTCGTGCGAGGCGCCTCCACCCGGGCCCGCAACCAAGTTCCGACGCGGTCTCCGAGTGTGTGTCGTAGTGTAGTGTAAGTGCATGTAAGCTTCCAATATAATTCTCCTCCTTACTCATGTAATTTGTGTCGAAAATCCAGCAACCGTAAATACTCCTACCCTACGATCTCCCGAAAAGATACATTGCAGTGACATCAATTGACACACTGAGCCATCAAAGCCAGGCCCTCTCGGCTTTTCAATTTTTTCTCTTTTTATCTGTATTTGTCTCGTTTTAGCTTTCCTCGACTTGTGCTTTATCTCATACACCTTGTTCCTCGCCTTTGTATCTACTACTCGCCTGTTTCCTCTCTCTCTCTCTCTCTCTCTCTCTCTCTCTCTCTCTCTCTCTCTTCTCACACACACACACACGACACACACATACACACCACACTTCACGTGAACTTCCTTGTCACTTCCGTCATTTTTTAATCCCTTCGAGTCAATTTGTCGCCTTAACTCATTTGCTATTTTGTTGAATAGTCTTCGTTTCAGAAAACCGTACATCTCACTCCCCCCCCGTCGACCCACTATCCTCGTGCCGTTCCCCCGCCTCTGGTTCGCTCGCTAGCCCGCACGGCCGACAGCGTTTAAATTGCCCACAAATTACTGCGTAGTTAAACTGCAGTGTTTTCTTTTCAACATTAAATTGAGCTTTCAATTGCAGCCCCAGGAATTAGCACTATTAACTCGCGATATATCTTCATTGGGTGGAGTGCGTTTTGTAAACGGCGTTCGAACGGCACCGAACTGCGCTGGAGCACGTGTTTCCGCAGCCTAATGTCTCACGCGCGCCCAACCTCCCAACAACCTGCCTGCCACCCTCCCCCCTCGACCGCCACGCGTTTGTGTTGCCACGCACGCAACTAACCCTGCGTTAACCGCCTCACCGCACCGGGGCTGGCCCTGGACGTCCCGTCCAGACTTGCCACTCCGCGTCTGGGCCTCTGCATCCGCTCAGTTCGCTCCTGATCGCGAGTTTTCCGAGTTTCTCTTGATCATATATATATATATATATATATATTATATATATATATATATATATTATATATATATATATATATATATATGAAAGGGCGAAATAGTTGGGCGCAGGAGTAAGTATGTAGATGGGGTGGCTTGCAAATAGGAACGTACAAGACGCAAGGCGACAACAAAGGAAAACAGAACAGAATGGATTTATTGATTAGCGTTTCGGTCGCGCAAAAAAAAAAAAAAAAAAAAAAAAAACATCTTCGGTCAGTAGTCACGTAAGGGTAGTGGATGTTTTTTTACGGAGGTGGCAGGGGAAGCTGTCTCCGACAAATGGCGAGATCCGACAGCGACCTACAGTTGGCTAGCAGATTTTCTCCGACCAGTATTCCCACCAGCGGGGACCTCCCCAGGACACAGCTGCTCTACAGCTGTGGCCGTTTCTCCGCTCTCAGTCTCCCATTAGCCTCTCTATTGGAACCATAGATATTGCATTTCTCTTGCCGTCTAGCCTCTTGCCACTCCTGGTGCCATGCAAGTCTGGGTCTTCCTTCTTCGTCTTTCTGTCGGCACCCATTTTCAGATTCGTTTTGGCCAATCTTCGTCTGTCATTCGCATAACATGACGCGTACCAGACGACTATGTTTTTTTCTCTATTTTCGTCAAGGAATAGATTTCTGACATCCATCAAACCACCAGC